TTTTGGTGCACAAAATCTCATGATTTTGGAGAGTCCAGAAGATTTCCTGTTAATTCATGATTTTGCAGAGCCCAGAAGATTTCCTGACATTTGTTTTTGCTGCCCAAAATTCATAGTTTTTGGAGAGCCCAGAAGGTTTCCTGATATTTTGTTTTTGGTGCCCAAATTTCTTGTTTTTGGAGAGCCCAGAAGGTTTCCTGACATTTGTTTTTGGAGCACAAAACTCATATTCTTGGATAGTCCAGAAAGTTTCCTGACATTTGTTGTTGGTGCCCAAAACTCACGTTTTTGGAGAGCCCAGAAGGTTTCCTGACATTTGTTTTTGGTGCCCAAAATTCATGTTTTTGGAGAGCCCAGATGGTTTCCTGATATTTGTTTTTGGTGCCCAAATTTCTTGTTTTTGGAGAGCCCAGAAGGTTTCCTGACATTTGTTTTTGGTGCCCAAAACTCATGTTTTTGGAGAGTCCAGAAGGTTTCCTGACATTTGTTGTTGGTGCCCAAAATTCACGTTTTTGGAGAGCCCAGAAGGTTTCCTGACATTTGTTTTTGGTGCTCAAAACTCATGTTTTTGGAGAGCCCAGAAGGTTTCCTGACATTTGTTTTTGGTGCCCAAAACTCATATTTTTGGAGAGCCCAGAAGGTTTCCTGACATTTGTTTTTGGTGCCCGAAACTCAAATTTTTGGAGAGCCCAAAAGGTTTCCTGACATTTGCTTTTGGTGCCCAAAACTCATGTTTTGGAGAGCCCAGAAGGTTTCCTGACATTTGTTTTTGGTGCCCAAGATTCATATTCTTGGAGAGCCCAGAAGATTTCCTGCCATTTGTTTTTGGTGCCCAATAGTCATGTTTTTGGAGAGCCCAGAAGGTTTCCTGACATTTGTTTTCGGTGCCCAACAGTCATGTTTTTGGAGAGCCCAGAAGGTTTCCTGACATTTGTTTTTGGAGCCCAAATCTCATGTTTTGGAGAACCCAGAAGGTTTCCTGATATTTGATTTTGGTGCCCAAAACTCATATTTTTGGAGAGCCCACAAGATTTCCTGACATTTGTTTTTGGTGCCCAAAACTCATGTTTTTGGAGAGCCCAGAAGATTTCCTGACATTTGTTTTGGGTGCCCAAAACTCATGTTTTGGGAGAGCCCAGAAGGTTTCCTGACATTTGTTTTTGATGCCCAAATTTCTTATTTTTGAAGAGCCCAGAAGACTTCCTGACATTTGTTGTTGGTGCCCAAAACACATATTTTTGGAGAGCCCAGAAGATTTCCTGACATTTGTTTTTGGTGCCCAAAACTCATATTTTTGGAGCGCCCAGAAGGCTTCCTGACATTTGTTCTTGGTGCCCAAATCTCATATTTTTGGAGAGCCCAGAAGGTTTCCTGACATTTGTTTTTGGTGCCCGAAACTCATGTTTTTCGAGAGCCCAGAAGGTTTCCTGACATTTGTTTTTGGTGTCCAAAACTCATGTTTTGGAGAACCCAGAAGGTTTCCTGACATTTGATTTTGGTGCCCAAAACTCATGTTTTTGGAGAGCCCACAAGATTTCCTGACATTTGTTTTTGGTGCCCAAAACTCATGTTTTTGGAAAGCCCAGAAGGATTCCTGGCATTTTTTTGGTACCCAAAACTCATGGTTTTGGAGAGCCCAAAAGGTTTCCTGACATTTGTTTTTGGTGCCCAAAACTCATATTTTTGGAGAGCCCAGAAGGTTTCCTGACATTTGTTTTTGGTGCCCAAAACTCATATTTTTGGAGAGTCCAGAAGGCTTCCTGACATTTGTTTTTGGTGCCCAAAACTCATGTTTTTGGAGAGCCCAGAAGATTTCCTGACATTTGTTTTGGGTGCCCAAAACTCATATTTTTGGAGAGCCCAGAAGGTTTCCTGACATTTGTTTTTGGTGCCCAAAACTCATGTTTTTGGAGCGCCCAGAAGGTTTCCTCTTTTTTTTGGTGCCCAAAACTCATGTTTTGGGAGAATCCAGAAGGTTTCCTGACATTTGTTTTTGATGCCCAAATTTCTTATTTTTTGAAGAGCCCAGAAGATTTCCTGACATTTGTTGTTGGTGCCCAAAACACATATTTTTGAAGAGCCCAGAAGATGTCCTGACTTTTGTTTTTGGTTTCCAAAACTCATATTTTTGGAGCGCCCAGAAGGCTTCCTGACATTTGTTGTTGGTGCCCAAATCTCATATTTTGGAGAGCCCAGAAGGTTTCCTGACATTTGTTTTTGGTGCCCAAAACTCATGTTTTTGGATAGTCCAGAAGGTTTCCTGACATTTGTTATTGGAGCCCAAAACTCACGTTTTTGGAGAGCCCAGAAGGTTTCCTGACAAATTTTTTTTGGTGCCCAAAACTCATGTTTTTGGAGAGTCCAGAAGGTTTCCTGACATTTGATTTTGGTGTCCAAAACTCATTTTTTTGGAGAGCCCAGAAGGTTTCCTGACATTTGTGTTTGATGCCCAGAACTCATATTTTTGGAGAGCCCAAAAGGTTTCCTGACATTTGCTCTTGGTGTCCAAAACTCATGTTTTTGGAGAGCCCAAAAGGTTTACTGACGTTTGTTTTTGGTGCCCAAAACTCATGTTTTTGGAGAGCCCAGAAGATTTCCTGATATTCGTTTTTGGTGCCCAAAACTCATGTTTTTGAAGGGCCCAGAAGGTTTCCTGCCATTTGTTTTTGGTGCCCAAATCTCATGTTTTTGGACAGCCCAGAAGGCTTCCTGACATTTGTTTTTGGTGCCCAAAAATCATGTTTTTGGAGAGCCCAGAGATTTCCTGACATTTGTTTTTGGTGCCCAAAACTCATGTTTTTGGAGAGCGTAGAAGGTTTCCTGACATTTGTTTTTGGTGCCCAACATTCATATTTTTGGAGAGCCCAGAAGGTTTCCTGAAATTTGTTTTTTGGTGCACAAAATTCATGATTTTGGAGAGTCCAGAAGATTTCCTGGTAATTCATGATTTTGCAGAGCCCAGAAGATTTCCTGACATTTGTTTTTGCTGCCCAAAATTCATAGTTTTTGGAGAGCCCAGAAGGTTTCCTGATATTTTGTTTTTGGTTCCCCAAAATTCATATTTTTGGAGAGCCCAGAAGGTTTTCTGACATTTGTTTTTGGTACACAAAACTCATATTCTTGGATAGTCCAGAAAGTTTCCTGATATTTGTTGTTGGTGCCCAAAATTCACATTTTTGGAGAATCCAGAAGGCTTCCTGACATTTGTTTTTGGTTCCCAAAACTCATATTTTGGGAGAGCCCAGATGGTTTCCTGATATTTGTTTTTGGTACCCAAAATTCATATTTTTGGAGAGCCCAGAAGGTTTCCTGACATTTGTTTTTGATGCCCAGATTTTATATTTTTGGCCTGCCCAGAAGAAGGTGTCCTGGCATTTGATTTTGGTGCCTAAAACTCATGGTTTTGGAGAGTCCAGGAGGTTTCCTGACATTTGTTTTTGGTATCCGAAATTCATGTTTTTGGACAGCCCAGAAGATTTCCTGCCATTTATTTTTCGTGCCCAAAACTCAAATGAATATGTGAATATATGAATTATAATATTGGGGGAACGAAGTACGTGGGCCCTTCACTTATTATATGCCCACGAGTGAATAATAATAGAATCATAACGTGAAGAGAGAATAATTTAATATTTCATATAAGTTTACGTACGATTTAATATTATAGTTGTACGAATATAAGAAGAACCCCCTTTAGAATAATATTTGCGTACACGCGTGAATTATATTACAAGTATGCGCAAATAGTATTAATAATGGGTCCATGGAAAGAGCGGTCAACGTACGTCCGTGTGTTAATTCACCATTCAAATATTATTAATGCATACGATAATATTAATAAGGTGAAGAGAGTTCAATTCGTGAGTTTACAAAGTAATGAATTCCAGAAAGATGAAAATTCCCAAATATAACGAATCAAAAATGAGATAAATCATCGAATATAATAATATTCCGATGATTCAAAGTATATCTTCAAGCCTAATAATAATGAGAAAAGAATAAATAAATAATGAGATTGAATATAATATCTTCATCTTTATAAATTTATTGAATTCATTCTTTCATTTCTTATTTTATCAATAAGAAAGAGACAAAATTATAACGAATTTGAACGAAGATCTATTATAAATATTGAATTTTCTTAGGTCGATTTTTCAATGAATATAATTTAATTTATCCGCGCGCCGAAATTGGACCCGAAAAGAATCGAGAGTAATAAATACTTTTAATCAAATAAGAAGATCCGAATTTATCCAACTTCGTAATTCGATCTAAGATCGAAAAAGAAAGAAGATTCGTAACATTTTGGGATATATTGTCATTCAATATTCTAGAATTTCAGCCACATCGTACGTACCACCCATTTTTTGCCTTGAAAATCCTGCCGGAACCTTACGTGACCCCGATCCCGGCAAATCCCAGCATCCTCCCCAATTGAAATGAATTGGAAAAAAAACGAACCAATAATGAATATATGAAATATCAAAAAAATATTATGAAATGAATATAAAATGAAGAGACTTCTAAATTTAGATTTATAAATGAGATATGATTATTTATCAAAATATAGAAGGCTCCCAGCAATAAAGAATCCTTATCAATCAAATTTAATGGATTCAAGATAATCCGTTTTAATAATATTTTCTTCTTAAAATCTTCTCCATCCAATCACCATGAAATGTAATTATTCGTGTACATCATAATCCTAATAGCCCCCAAACCCGAAGTATACAATGTGCCAAGAACCTCTCCCTTGTAAAGCAAATTGACCACAATTCCTCGAGAAATCCAGAATTGGATATGCCCTCGACCAGATAGAAATAGGGGATGCTTATGTGTGCGAGGCCAAGAAACGATCGTACAAATATGTGGATTCATGTTCTTCAGCCTATTACGGGGTTGTTGACCATCATCTCAATCGTAAGCCCAAACCACAAGTGATATCACCCTCAAACCCAGACCTCTAGTGCAAAGTCCACCGTCAAATCGCCAGGCATCTTTTATGGGAATATTCTCATCGCACGGTTGATGGCCATTGTACCTCAGGAGCGCTTTCTTTGCCACTCAAGCTAACCGCTGGCACCCTGACTGCGACTACCCCCAAAACCCTAAGCCACAACCCTGAACCAAGCGGCAAGATGGGCAGTTGCCCCCTCGATCGCCACCCCGGTCTGCCTGGTGCTCTCAGACTCAGGGCTCTTTGATGCTTTGATTCTCTGAACGAATTAGTCTCGAGGTGTCCTACCTCCGTAGCCGTGCGAGTCCGTGCGGCTGCATCCACAAGCTGCACCTTAAAGGTTCGCTTGAAAGCCCTTTCGGCGTAACCCATCACAACACAGGCCCCCCTGAGATTCTTCAAGACCACAAAGGGACCGTCATTCCAAGAACTGTCCATTCGCATTAAGGTAAGCACTAAGGAAGGGCTGAGACTCGGGCAGCACAATCCCCACACACAACTCGATGTCCACAAGGTTCCAGGATGTACCTGCCCGCAAAGCGCAACACGCAAACCAAAGCTCATGCCAAGCTATCCCAATCCGCTGCCTGGAAGGCTTGTCGAGGCACACGAAGCAGGGTGGAGCAAAGGCACTGGACCCTTTGTCATCTTTGCCCTGCCAAGATACGAGGGTTGCGGAGCGTGTGCCCTTGAAGCCCAAAGAAAAACTCATTCGACCTGACCCGCAAAGCTGAAAAAAACACACACACACACACACACACAGAAAATGCAAAGACCCTGAACCCCGAACCCAAAAGCCCCAACTTTCCCGTCTGAGTCCTGCAGCTTGTCGCCCTTCCCGGAATCGCTGCGACTCGGCCGATCGCCTTTGCAATCTTTCTTGGGATCACGCGATCCCCGGCCCGAACCTGGCAAGAGCTGCCAGTAGCCAATGGCCAAGCCCCTCGCCCCAGTATGAAAACCCCCTACAGGATCTGGAACTTTTAGAAAACCCCCCTACAACATGTTCATTATTTTGCTACTTTGTTTTTTTTTTTTGGGGGGGGGGGGGGGTAGCTAAATATTGGGAGGAGGGGTCTCAGGGGACTCATGGGTTTAGCTGCCCTTGGCCGCTTCTGTGAAAAACCGAGCGCCTCGTGAACGTGAGGCTCCAAATGGAAGTCGATCCAGGGCTTTGTTCAAAGTCTGACAAGGCAAGGCGGTTTAGGGTTCAGGGTTTAGGGGTTTAGGGGTTTAGGGGTTTAGGGGTTTACGGGTTTAGGGGTTTACGGGTTTAGGGGTGTAGGGTTTAGGGTTTAGGGTTACCAGTTACAGACACCCGCGCTTCGGCAAGTCATGGTGACAGAGCCCGATGTGCAATGTGGGACGCTTTCACTGCTGCAGCTATGAAGTCATGTACGAGTAGGCCATGAACGGGGCAGTGCGACGCGAGGCAGAGATGCACCAAGCATCCAAACATGAGCCAGGGCCTTGTTTCCTGCCGCGGCTCGCCTACATCTCCTGTGCATGTGCATCTTGGCTGCTGCAATCTTCCATGATCCTCCACGTCTTCGGGAGTTTTGGGTTCTGCCTGACAAGTCCCAGGTTGGAAGTCGTGTTCCAGAGGTCGCGGGCGAGCAGAAGCAGAGGGACCGGCCTCAGGCTTCGAGCTTCAAGACGTCAGGCGGTGCCCTTCACATGCTGTCCAGAGCGGTCCCACAGAGCTGCGGCGCTTGCGAAGTAATTGCTGCCAGCGATATGCAGATGAACGCCGCGCCCAGGAGTGGATTGGCCGTAGGAACTGTAGTGACCTAACAAAATCCCCAACAAAATGGGCAAAAGATGCTAAAGGAGGCCAGCAGCAGCTGACAATTCGACGCGTATGTAGTACGGTGCTGCCAAGAGTCCAAAACCGCAGGAGGCGAGAACAGGGACCGCGTCAAGAATACTAAGATGCTGCTCAACAGACCTCGATGTTCGAAAAAAGTAGAATCTCCCAGAAGATTCTGCAGTGGAAGTGTGACATTGGATCGGCTTTTAAGCGACATGAGGAGCTGTCCTGAAGTAAGCTTCCCTTGTAATGCAAGTAGATAACCTTTCAAGACGAAGCCCTTATAGAAGGACTCCCCGAGGGTCTACTGTGCAGCTCTGGCACTCATGAGCAAGCGCCCAGGCTGTAGGATGAGGCAGCGGATGCCGGTAAACATGACCTCATGCGCTTGAATGAACTGCAGGTTTCCTAGAACTCGAGGGTCCTAGAGGGGTCCGTCCCTGCTTGGGGTTCATATGGTTCCATACAAGATGGATCATCGTGTCTTGCGGGGGGGGGGGGGGGGGGGGGGCGGGGGGGGGGGGGGGGCGGGGGGGCGGGAAGGGGGAGGGGCGGCGGGGGGGGGGGTGGAAGGGGGGGGGGGGGGGGCGGCGGGGGGGGGGCGGCGGGGGGGAGGGGGGTGGGGGGGGGCGGGGGGAGGGGGGGGGGGGGGGGGAGTGGGGGGGGGGGCCCGTGGGGGGGGGGCCTCCATTTACCGACTGCGGGCATGTTCGCGGGCACTTCATGCAACTCTCATGAACGCGTCCAGGCGACGTTCAGCATGACGAAGCGCGGCATGGTAATCATGAACTCGAAGACACACAGGAGCGGAGTAAACCTGACACTCACTTCTCTCTGCCCTCCGACGAGTTGACGTGGCAAGCACCTATGACACAGACACGATCGCTGCATGCCAAGGAGCCCGATCAGAATCCCCACCCACACGGGATGCACAATTCCGCTCCAAACATAACCGCCACTGCCTGGAGGGCAAGATGTGATGTTTCAAGCCGCTTAAGCCTTCTTTCCCCTCTGGGAGTACTCCGCTCTCAGCCGCTCTCAGCCAAGAATCTCCCAATCGCATCAGTGCCGTCAGCGGCCTCCCCTGGACCGGCAGCCTGAACTCTCCATAACCACGATGGCTGTCATTAAAGTGCAATGTGTCAAACGTTCCCACACCAGGCAACTGCACAGTCAGAGTCAGAGCAACACGGGTAGGCCCCCAGAGGACTCAGGGCCTACACCCTGAGCCCTGCGATGGTGTGCAAGGTAAGCTCTGGCCTTGTGCACCGCATACGTCAGCGTCGACATTATCCAAGTACAGTTGGCCACCCGCATCCTCGACATAAAAGGGTCCAACAACTCAACTATTCAGAATCTGAAAAGCCTGACTCCAATAACGGTGATTCGGACACCGGAAACTTTGCGAATTCAGAGACGAACAGCCTGGAACAGGGGCATCTTGCTCTCTTAAACCGCCAGGACATCAATTGAGAGAGGTGCGGGTAGCTTCTGAATCGAGCGCATGTTCTTCGCTTCGGGCTTTGACTCTGCCTCTCAGTGCTGCTGGAACACTCGAGGCCACTGAGGGAGGTGAGATTGCTCAGAACTACCAGCTCTGGAGTTAGCTGGTCGAGTCCTGATGCATGTTTTTCGCACTCGCCATACAGTGTCTAAAGCCGTCAAGCCTGTCATGCATCAGGTCCTATGTACTCGATTTCCTTGAAGGTTCCATCGGCTTCCTTCACTGAGAGGATCTACTGTAAGTACTAGTAGCAACTTACACGGCTACTCTTGAAAAGAAGCAGAAAAGCAGGGTCTGTGCGAGAGTCCTGCTGAATCGGCATCAGATTTGTGACCAGATGGTAGAAGCTCTCGCCGCTGAACACAAAGAGCAACTGGGGCACAGGAAGGAGAACAGATCGGATGGCAATCAGCGGCAGGTGCTGACGCAGCTGCTCGCTGAGGACCGGGCGATGGCCGAGCAGCAGATATACCTGAGGAGCATCGACTCCACGTCATCCTCCGACGACAGGGTCGGAAGAAAGTCGTGGCTGAGTTAAGGGCTCACGCTTCTAGAGTCATCTGATCGGACCTTTTTCTTTGCAGTGGCAGTTGGCTGGACTCATCTCTGGCATCTGTGTAACTAATAGGATCCTTTTGCCAAAATGACCTGTCTATCTGAACCAGGATCCTTGGAATGCAAAAGCATCTCCCGAACCCGTCCTCGATCTCTTTCCGCGTCCATTGGTGTATCTCCTGCACATCGCAGGTGCACAGCTTGCCACTCGATCCATCTGTGCAACGTACTGGTGTCTGTCATCCGTCACCACTCCATCGCATAAACAGCGTCAATAGCAAAGCATGGCAAAACCGGAAAAAAAAAAACTGATGATTCCCGTACGGAGACGATCATGAGATCATACTAATGGGCACTGCACTCACTGCAGCGAGAGCGATTCCAGCAGGACTGTCACTGCAACGACAGCCTCTTTAGGCATCATCGGCTTCGAAGCCCAGGGCATCTCCAAGACAGCTTCCTGCGCACCTGCCCGCTCGCAGATGCAAAATTGCGGTGCGTGGACTGCTGTGGCGAAATGTTGAGGTCAGTCCAAAGTGGGTGATTCGATGAAGCCTTGCGAAGAAGCTGCCATGTTCTCGCGCGCCCTTTGCATCCCTTTGGCCGTCTCTTAGAACAGGCTCGAGCATACAGCCAACCGTAAGGGTCATTTTGTGAGAGTTAACCTTTGCGCTCAGAGTGGCCTTGAAGCCATGAAGATGACGAAGATGATGTAACTGCTCTAGAAGCCTTAAAGCACCTTAGAGCCTCGCGCATCATGGTGTTTTTTTAAGGTCCTTTGCTGTCAAGAGCAGCAAGCCTGCCAGTGGGTGAAGGTTGGCCGTCTCCGGCATCTTACAGACCTGCAAAGCTGGGCTCAAGATCTCGGTTGGTTCACGCCGTGTAAACACACACACAACACCACCCAAGCAGCAAAGAGAGCAAAGCACGCACAGCAGAAAGATGAATAACTACAGCAGAAGATAGCAACAACATCAGAAAGGCACGCACGATAATCCAAGCAAAATGCACCGCAAACTGGCAATTTGAGCCAGGTCAAGGATGCAAGCAAAACCTGGGCACAACATACAAACAGGCTCGTACACTAAGAGGCAAAGCCTAACAAACCCTACAGTATCACCATTTGCTTAACTCTGGTCCTGCCCAACCCTGTGTCCAATGTCAAAGTCCCACTTGTGCAACCAACACCGAACAGTCCACATTACTGCAACTGCGCTCGTGGAAGAGGCTTCGCGCTCAATCCAGGTCCTGGAGGTCTACAGCACACTCTACACATGCTGAGGCTGGGCCAAATAGGCGCAGGTAGTCTCAGAGTTCCTCATGTGGCTTTACTTTTGGAGGTCTACCACGTTTTCTTTTAACTGGTGGATCATGTATCATATCCGCCGACCCCTGCTTTAGCGGGGGAGGCGTCAGAGAAGACCCATTTGCCCTCATGCCCAAACCCCCCCGCCCTCACCCCTTACCCTCGACCTCACCCTTACCCTCTTAGGGGCTCCAGTGCATGCCCCCCCACCTCCCCCTAACCTTTTACTGGAAATGAAGTGTTTTAGGGGCTCCAGTACATGCCCGGACCCCCCCCCCCGTGAGATGAAACCTGAGCGTTACCAGCCTCCGGCTCGGTACAGCTGGCAAGGCACGCAGGTGTCTCTTTTAGCTCTGCTGGCTAAGTGTATCACTCTGATCCAGAACCTCGGGCACAGGCCACTGCATGCCATGATGACTGAACCCTGTGGCATACCTGTCTCTATTTCAGTCAGGCACAAATTTAAAAATTCAGCTCATTTGGCATGTCGTATGACGATAGTGGCGGCCACGAGGTCTCGTTCCAAAAACGAAACATAGCGAGAGTGCGCAGCAGTAAGTTTCTATACAAATCAGCAACTATTCACAAGAGCAGTCAACGATAAGGGTGTGCTTCACAACAGCAAAAACAAAAAGCCCTGAGCTCGTCTCCGTTCTTTTATCGGTGAAGGACTTGTTGTCACACCTTCTCAACTGGAGTTGAGTTCGCGCTTGACACACTCATCCCAAACAGAAGAACAGCTACCTTCCCTGTGAGGAAGCATGCTTTTGTGGCTCCCACGCATTTTGTACATGCGCTACCGCGAAGCCTGTTGCATCACAAGACACAACTCACAGGACGAGCTGGATTACAGCAGCACCAATGAGGATGTAATCGTAGGAGGCGTTGAAGTAGAACTTCACCTTCTACCCCACGAAGACGAACCCCATGAGGAGGAACTCCATCCTTGGTTCCATGAAGGATCCCACGACCAATTGGACCAGTATGGGCCTTGAGAGGATCCCTTGCCTCTTGGCGAGCCTTCCCCTTTTCTGGCCTTACCAGCCCCTTTTCCTTTTGGAGGCGCCCAAAGTTCTTCATGTCTCCTTCTACCACTGGCTTCGTACTCGTAGACTTCAGGGTTGTCGTCGAAAGAGACTTCTCTCCTCGCAGCAGCTGGCTTCGCCGCTGGCTTAGCCTTTGGAGGAGCTGCTGGCTCTGGCACTGCTGAAGGTTCCTCACTTGGAAGCGAGCCTCCTTCCTTGCTCTTGCTTTTGCCTTTGCCAGGTGGAGCACGACCTTCGCCTTGTACTGGTTCGGCAGGAGCACCACGCTTTTTAGCCTTCTGTCTCTCTTTCCTGGATTGGGACGCCTGCAAGATCGACTCCTTCGACCTGTGCGTCTTCTTCTCAGAGAACTTCATCCAGTTAGGAGCGATGTGTAGAAGCAGTGGTGTGTGACTGTCATTGTCCGAGGGCTTCAGGAGGAAGTGGTTCTTCGTCGAGTGCAGCAAGAATTCACTCACCGAAACCTTGTACTCCATGCTGCCCTTGTACTCAGCCCACACCTCATTGGTCATGCTATGACCCCATTCGAAGACGATGGCAGTCACGCAGTCCAAATCAGGAAACGTCGTCCAATCCACTAGGTGGCCCACATCGCCGTAGGGGAACCCAAGCTTCTCCTCGTAGAGTTTGAGAAGATGTAGAGGGTTCGAAGTCACGACGCGTGTCCTTGGGATCAACAACCTGTCCTGACGTTGGTGCTTCTCGAAGGCGTCGACGAAGTACTGGATCGTCGAGAAAAGGGCTGAGCTGTCGTGTGACACTGACCCCTGTTGGCTACCTCCGAATCGGTAGCATGACATGTTGCCATCTCCGCCCATCAGATCCACTTGGTAGTGGAAGCAGTCAGCGACCATCGCAGCTAGTCCCTCGGCCAAGAAGCCGGGCTTAGAGCGTGCGATTTCACTTCGAACGTGGAAGTTGCAGACACGAATTGACTTCATGCCTGCACGCGTGAGATCTTCCTTGAACTCAGCCTCCTCGAAGGCGGACTCCACTCGATCAACCAGGTCTTCTTGTTCCATTCTCTCTCGAGGAATGGTACTTCCAAAGTTGATCTGGACGATCTCATATCTGATGGGAATCCAGGCATACGCAGGGTCTTTGAGGACCGGACCAGCAAGGTGCTTGAAGCTGACCTTGTTCTTGCCCTTGGTGTTTCCTCTGACAGCAGTGAGGAGATCTCCTGCCTCATTTGTTCGGAACAACCAGCCCTTGGACCTGAAGTAGTCCGACTCTTCTCTCGTCATGTTGTTCTCCTGCAGCAGAATAACATGTGCCTTGGAGTGAGAGAGGAACTTCACAATGATGGAGCTTCCATCGGAGTAATCCGAGATGAGGTCGGCATACTTTGGAGGAAGTGTGCCCTTTCTGCCCCTCGCGAAGTTCCCCAAGTTGGCAACCATCACGCTAAGACCTACTCTGGAGGTGGCCAAATGCGTCATCTCTGCCATTGGATCGGGTTCCTCAGCAAAGGCTGAGCTTCCCAAGCTCGTGGTTTCGAGACTTCCACAGGCCAGAAAAGTGCCGAAGAAGAGTGTTCAGAAGATCACCTCTCGTAGCATTGGTTTTTGCCAGTGACTCCATCAACAGCGCCTCCTTCTCCGCAATGGCAACATGGGCATTGTATGATCTCTCAAGTGCATCAGTCGAAAAAGTGCTCCTCACATCAATGCTCTTGAAAGCCACTTGTTTTGCTGCAGGACGAAACTCCCACAACGGTGGCATCGTCGCCATTGTCTCGAAGAAGGGCACTTCTGGAACCTGGAACTTCCAATTTGACCGAGCAGGAGCCGCTCTATCCCTCCAGCTCATATGCTGGAGTCGAAATCGGTTCTGAGCCGACTGCGCCCGAAGACCACCATGGAGAATGCCATCACTTTCTCCATACTTCTGCCGACTGAGGATGTAGATGGGCGAACCCTTTTCAACCCTCTCCAGCTCATCAAGGAAGCGCTGGTACTCGGGCAACTGCTCCAGGGTCGCCTCTTCCTTTTTGTCGGCGAAGGATCGAAGAGCATCCTCATTCTGCTGAGTGATCTCTTGGAGATCCTGCGGAGTAATAACAGTCTGTACATTACCCCACAGGCCTTGGGGCGTTCCCGAGGGTGCCTCACTTGGAAGTGAGCTTCCCTCTGTTTCCCCAGTGGTGACCATTGGCGTAGAGGACTCCTCCTCCACCTTGAAGTCACCTTCCTCGACCTTCAACTGGACTTCGGGATCTGGCTCCTTGACCTCTTCGGTCGCATCGGGCATTGGCTCTTCTTTGATGTGCGCTTCGGAAGATGGTGGTGGTCCCTCTGCTGTAGCAGAGCCCGCTTCCTCTTCCATTGTTGCATCCAGAGAGGAAGGCGCCACCTTGGGTTCCTCAACTCGTGTTGAGCTTCCCCAGGATTCATCGACCTCGATGACCTCCTCGATGTTGACGGTTCCTTCATTGTTCTCGAAGGTTCTCTCAAGCTCAAAATCTTCCACAGGAATGCCAAGGTAGTAGTCGACGAATGCCTCCTCGGACTGGCGAATCTGCACACACTGCTGCAAGTCCTGAACGGCCTTGGAAGCGAAGCGAGAGAGGAACTTCCGCTCTGGGTACGAAGCGACGGTGCGTTCGATTTTCTTCAGGATGAGTTTGGGCTCAAACGGGAGCCTCAATGAGCAATCTCTATGCTCACTATTGTCCTGTGCGCGCACAACAAACTTGTTCCGAAGTGCTTGGTTGTCACGATTCTCCTTCATGTACAAGAAGAAGTCACTGCCATAGAGTTCCACGAACATGTCGTAGAGGTTGACGAAATCGCTCTGAATGTTGATGAGCTCCTGGGCCACCATCAGCTCGTGCCGAAATGCCTGGTACTCTGCGAGCTTCTCAGCGTAGTTCTCTGTGCCTTCAACTGGCATTCGATTTCGCTCATCTGTGACCTCAGGCTTTGCTCTCCCGTAAAGAACTCCAGGGGTGAAGACTGACTCGGCCTTAGATCTGAGCTCGGTGAAGTAGTCCGCGTCCCAATGTGGAGTATGATGGTCATAGTGAGAGACCTTCAACTGAAAGTCAATGAGCACATTGGCGGCTATCTTCCCCAGTCTGAATGCCTCCAGGAAGAAGAGAACCGGGTATCCACTCAGAGGATTGTGCAACTAAAGAGCCTGATCAAGCTGGAGCTTCTTTCTCACACTGACATGAACATCTCGGAATCGAACAACCTGTACATAGCCAATGCCGTAGGAGTCAACCTTGCGCTCATTGTCCTCCATCAAGGCAATGGTGCCTTTGTAGAACAGCGTCCAAGGATTGGCCCTAAGCTGTCGGATCAGGTCCTCTTGGGCCCTGACTTTTTCTGCTTCAGCTGTCAAAGAAGTTTTTACACTCCCTTCAACTTCCATGCCACGCTCAAAAGGAATTCTTTTCCCTTCTGAGCTTGTTTCTGACTGCTGAACATGCCTCTTCTCCTCCTCTTCAATGATCTCTCGAAGGGAAGTGAGATCAAAGTGGGGC